CTAGCATAACTGGTCTGATTTTAGGCTCTATTTGCATCAGGTATTAGAATGAACATCTCATGTATATTACATCTTACATAGGTTCACAGTATATTCAATATATATATATATATATATCACTCAAATTCCATCGTTTATGCAGAAGTATATGTATCACAGCCATTCACCTTTTAAATTTTGGCATATATATCAGTGGTGCGTTTAACGGTAACATCCCAGTTGGCCTACTCCAATTTCGTCTACTCTCAGAATGGGCAATATTCCCATTTTGCCTACTCCCATTTCGTCTACTCTCGGAATAGGCTGGATTTTTAGTGTAGACGAATTAGGAGTAGGCAAAACGGTGTAGACCAACTGGGAAATTTGCTATAGACGAAATGCGATCGAGTAGGCCAACCGGGCATAAACAGGTTTAACTACAGGATCTATGGCTGTGTTTACCTAACCTAACTGACTCCTTTAACCAGGCAGTTTCACATAAATATAATAAAATATGACATTTAAATTAGCAGAGATGATTGATGTAAACAGTATGGAAGGTTTTCATTAGCGTCTAAAAAAAATTACTATTTAGCAGTTCAAAGCTGGGTCGAACATTAAAAGAACCAGTGGGAGCCTTGTGAGACTACATTTAAATAAAAGGTTCATATAGGTATGCATATTATACGTGTTTTCATCAACATGAGCTTTGATTACCTAAGGTTCATTAAATTATCCTTGAGTTTTCTACTCCATGGTTCTCTAGCAACTGCATCAGACACTGTCCATGGATCATAGTAATTTTCATAAGAAAACTCTCCAGTAAGAGCTGTCCAACTGCATAACATAGGTAATATCAAGTAATATAATAGCAATGGTGAGAAAACAAAAGAAAAGGATGAGGATATAGTAAATAGGTTGAAGATGGAGGGGATGAATAACTACACATAATCAATATATAAAGGAAAAATCTGAATAAAAATAAAATAATAACACAAGAGTAGAATGCCAATAAGAATAAAAAGCAGTATAACGAGATGAAGAAAAATTATTTCACCTACAAAGCTGGGGGGGGAACAGGTATTTTCGGGATGCGGGATTAGCCATTTTAATTACCTGGAACTGGAATGTCAGATAAATTTTCGCTGATTCGGGAACAGAAGTTCATCGGGGCATGGGAAAGACCCTCTAAAATTGTCTGGGATCTGGGAAAATTGTGTCAATTCGTCGGAATTTCAATTTCTGCGCTAATATTTATTTAAGTTATTAATTTATTTTTATTTTTATTAATTATTCCCAGATATTAATAGTATAGTAAATATTAGTATTTATGTAAGTGTTGAAAACCTAAACTACTGAATTTCCTGAAACATGTCTACATAATTTCTTAGGAACTGGGATTTTATTTTACTGGGAACTGGGATATGGGGTGTTTTTTTGCTGGAAAGTGGAATGTACCCCCCCCCCCCTATACAAAGCAGATGAAGATGTATAATAGTATAGGTAAATTAAAATGTAAAAATATGCTTGTTATTGTTTATATATTAAATCAGAATATCATGAACATATGTATACGTCCACACATGTATATCTCTCAATATGTTTCTGATTATATCTTCCACAAGTGTTTTTCACATACATCTATAGTGTCCAGTGTAGCAACTATTGCTTTGCTGTAAATGAACGGTTGTATAAACGAATTAACCTGCATTTTATGGCATAGTAAAATATTGCATAAAGCCAAGTTAAAGAGATTGTAGATCATAGAGTGAGATTCCATTCTATTGCTAGTAATGGAATATTGCCCTTGCTCACACTACATGTACTGTGCATTTTTTTTAAATGGTACTCAGATATCATATAACACCCTCGTATATTTGACGTTTTGTAAAGATTTTATTGCACTATTAGATCAGAAGTGAATTTAAACAAATGTGGATTTAGTCACTCCTGATTACGTCAGATATCTATATGAGATCTAATGCGTAATGCAATATACATACGTAAAAGCAAACTTTACATGCACCAACTTTCCTTCATCATCTGCGTTCCATTCGCTCCTCTCACCTTCCCTAGTAAGCAACATTATTATTATTATTATTATTATTATTATTATTATTATTATATATCTAATACATATTTGTGGAAGTTTCTCTGTTCGTCTGTTCTCAATTCAAATCAATATCGGCCACTCTATATATGTCCAAGGATGGCCATTATATAATGTAACTTAATTTGGATACATTGACATGGGCCACATTGGATTTGACCTCCGAGAGCCATCTGACATTGTAAAACGAAAAAAATTATGAAAAAATCATGCCCCTGCAGCAGCGTTAAATCACAACACACCCTGTAGCAGCGGTAAATAAACCGGCCCATGAGGACGGATTCACTTTGCACTGACTTGCATGACTGTACAATGCGCGAAAAATTGAGTTACAATACATGCATTATGTTATAATGCGCAATGTCATTGTCGTAACAACATTCACCTTGCACCGACTTGAAACAGTGTGTAAGGCTATAGCACTATAGACTATAGAGTGTGATAGATAGATCGATGATCGATGGACAGGTGGACAGATGGACAGACAGACAGACAGACAGACAGACAGACAGACAGATAGACAGACAGACAGATAGATAGACAGACAGATAGACAGACAGACAGACAGACAGACAGACAGACAGACAGACAGATAAAAATAGATAGATATATAGATAAAGATAGATAGATAGATAGTTAGATAGATAGATAGATAGATAGAGGTGGGTGGTTGATGGATGGGATGGATGGGATGGATGGGATGGATAGATAGATAGATAGATTATAGGATAGATAGGATAGATAGGAAGATAGGATAGATAAGATAGATAGATAGATAGATAGATAGATAGATAGATAGATCGATAGCTAGCTAGCTAGATAGATAGATACATAGATAGATAGATAGGTACGTACGGAGGTAGGTAGGTAGATAGGTAGGTAGGTAGATAGATAGATAGATAGATAGATAGATAGATAGATGGATAGATAGATAGATAGATAGATAGATAGGTACGTACGGAGGTAGGTAGGTAGATAGGTAGGTAGATAGATAGATAGATAGATAGATAGATAGATAGATATATAGATAGATACATAGATAGATAGATAGGTACGTACGGAGGTAGGTAGGTAGATAGGTAGGTAGATAGATAGATAGATAGATAGATAGATAGATAGATAGATAGATAGATCGATAGCTAGCTAGCTAGCTAGATAGATAGATAGATACATAGATAGATAGATAGGTACGTACGGAGGTAGGTAGGTAGATAGATAGATAGATAGATAGATAGATAGATAGATAGATAGATAGATAGATAGATAGATAGATGTATTTTTGGGTATTTTTCTTTCAACCAAGTGGTCACCACCTGAGCGCTTTATTTCCCGGGTAACGCCGGGTGTCCTGCTAGTATATATATATATATATATATATATAGATATCAGAAGTAGATAATAGAGAAGGAGTGTGACTTCAATAAACGAAAGAAAATACGTCATTTACTACCTTAGAATACCTACGATTTACTACACGTAACTCAACCAACTTGAGCTCAAATCGTACACAGTACATTCGCCTAGCATCGTGCGAAATCGTTTTCTCGTATACACCGCAATCCGGAGATACAGACTAAAACGTACAACACGATTCTCCATTCTGTTGCAAGCCAACCGAATGTATAAACCGCCTAACTTGAAACAAAAGGCCAGCTAGGTCAAAGATTAGCTCGCCGAGTGTTGCGTCGATATCCAATCTCCCAGCGAGCCACACCGCATCGCTAGGGCGCAGTGCGCAAGAGTTGTTAGTAGCTGCCTTTTGTTTCAAGTTAGGCGGTTTATACATTCGGTTTGCTGGCAACAGAATAGAGAATCGTGTCGTACGTTTTAATCTGTATCTCCGGATTGCGGGTGTATACGAGGAAACGATTTCGCACGATACTAGGCGAATGTACTGTGTACGATTTGAGCTCAAGTTGGTTGAGTTACGTGTAGTAAATCGTAGGTATTCTAAGGCTAGTATATGACGAATTTCCCTTATTTATTAAAGTCACACTCCTTCCCTATTATCTACTTCTGATATATATGCATACATATTGGCCTGCTATAAATCAACCTTGTCCCGTGAGCAGTACTGCTACATAGTATAAGTGACGTCCACTAGGATGTGTGGCAAAACATTGTGTCTAATGCAAATTGGAGCGTAATATAAGCCGCAAAATAAGGTAAATGCTGGAAATATCGCCATTGGATACATGTTACCTATGATAGGATACAGCCAATGTTAACCACATACCTAAGCAGGCCATTAATGTTACCCTCCACTTCAGCAGGGGTTTAAGCACTTCAAGTTGCAATCCTCCGGCAGTAAAGCTTTCCCCGTCACAGTTGTACACCCTGGTGTCAGGGAAGCTAGGAAAATGGTAGTATTGGCCATCACCTAGCTTCAACATCAGCCATACCTACAGCAGGAATCACTAATTAGTCAAACCGGATTACCACACATCTGCAGATATTATTTTCACATTATATTTTAAAACAGTGCTTGTTAATTAGCTGTGCTAAAACTATAAGAACATATCCTATTCGATTACTTTAGAAAATTGTGGATGAATTAACATGCATGAGCTTATAAAAATTTAATCATGAAGTGTAGCATTCCTCATTTCAAAACTGCATACACGGATTTGTTGTTTTATACTGTTAGATGTGCAGACATATAATCAGCATCTTGCCTCATGCATCATGCTTGCCAAGGCGAAATATAATTCGGCCTGTATTCTTTGAGCAAATGCACTAATAAATATCAAAAAATTTCATCGCACGCATGCATGCACGCATACACACATCTAAACAACTTACTACAATGTATAAATATTACAATTATAAATATCTATGCTGATACCAATAACAGCAATTTTAATGAGAATTGTAATGGCACATATTTCACCAGATAGGACTTCTAACCCTGTTAGCAAATATAGAGGATTTTGGACTGGTACAGTGATACAGGTCAATTTATGGAATTTCATAATCACGTATCAATATATATATTAAAATAATCAATATACACAATCTCACAAAACCTATATTATACCTCAGCAGTTCTGTCTGGTAGCCGTGTAATACGTGTAACCAGTCGGTTGCCATGCCTGTCCACTCCACCAATATACATGGAATCAAACGCCTGCAGTAAATTAAAACAACGATTTTTATTTTACAAAAAAATATTCACACCACAACAGCATCAACAACATCATCATCATCATCATCATCATCATTACTGACAACAACTACAGCAGCAGCTGCAGCAGTAGCAACAACAACAGTGAAAACACCTCGTTCCACACACCAATTAAGTCATAGCTAGATCACGATGAAAAACACGAAGCAATTTGCACTTATAATATACATAATACATAAATTATGGTGATACAGTAATATAGTATCATACATTTGGATGATCTGGAAGAGACTGTGGTTGCTCCAATCCTGCACAGCCATGTTTAACCTCGAATAATAAACAATCTCCACCTTCTGGTATCTTAGAAGTTTTCCTCCACTGTTGTACACGGCAGTAAATGTACACGATAGCACGCTTTAGTGAATACCACTTCCCTATAAATGAATTTACAGTAGTATTAGTGCAATATTTCGTTTTTGTACAAACGACTACAATAATTAATGTTGAAACTGTAGTATGCAACAAATCAATTCATACGGCAAGAGGTCAACATGTACAAAACATTTACAACATTAAACCTATTTGTCTTACCTGGTTGTGGCATATTTCCGCTGATTGGAAGTGGATTATGGCGGTAAAACAGACAGTATATGATATAGGCAGCGGCAAGTGTGAGCAGTACGGTAAAAACCATGCTAACGTTTCACTTAGGCTAGCTAGACAACCAGACTGAACCAGAACGAGTCAAAGATTACAATCAAATCGACACCTTTATGTTGTATCTCAGATCAAAAACTACATGTGAAGGACAAGCAGACCCTTGCGTGCTCCTCTAGTATCATGCCACTTGCACATTGTACCTAATATGCGGTCTTATCACTATTGCCATAATAGGGGAATCATTGTACAAACTTTCTCGTGCCATTATCCCCAATAATCTGCGATAATAGATACACGCGAGACATGAAAACAGGCCGAATACTTGTGAGTTGAGGGTAAGTGCGGGTAAGCACGAGTAAACAGCTGTAAATACATAATACATTATGGTAGCGACTGTGGTGTGTTGTTGACTGCTGTAGAGTTACGATGAAAGAGAAGTGCAAATGGAGAAGGGGGAAGGTAGAGAAGGGATGAGGCAGACAGTGGAAGCGGGACGGGGGGAAATGTAGAGGGGGAGTAGATCAGCTAGAATGGGTAGGGTGAGGAGAAGAGGGGTAGGTGGTAGATGGAAAAGGGAGTAGATCAGCTAGAATGGGTAGGGTGAGAGAAAAGGTGTAGGTGTAGAGGGAAAAGTGGAGTAGATCAGCTGGAATGGGTAGGGTGAGGAGAAAAGGGGTAGGTGGTAGAGGAAAAGGCGAGTAGGACATGATAGGTACGGTGGGTAGCCGACGAATTGACACAATTTTCCCAGATCCCAGACAATTTTAGAGGGTCTTTCCCATGCCCCGATGAACTTCTGTTCCCGAATCACGGAAAATTTATCTGACATTTCCCAGTTCCCAGGTAATTAAAATGGCTAATCCCGCATCCCGAAAATACCTGTTCCCCCCCCCCGCTTTGTAGGTGAAATAATTTTTCTTCATCTCGTTATACTGCTTTTTATTCTTATTGGCATTCTTACTCTTGTGTTATTATTCTTATTTTTATTCAGATTTTCCTTTATATATTGATTATGTGTAGTTTAATTCATCCCCTTCATCTTCAACCTATTTACTATATCCTCATCCTTTTCTTTTGTTTTCTCACCATTGCTATTATATTACTTGATATTACCTATGTTATGCAGTTGGACAGCTCTTACTGGAGAGTTTTCTTATGAAAATTACTATGATCCATGGACAGTGTCTGATGCAGTTGCTAGAGAACCATGGAGTAGAAAACTCAAGGATAATTTAATGAACCTTAGGTAATCAAAAGCTCATGTTGATGAAAACACGTATAATATGCATACCTATATGAACCTTTTATTTAAATGTAGTCTCACAAGGCTCCCACTGGTTCTTTTAATGTTCGAACCCAGCTTTGAACTGCTAAAGTAATTTTTTAGACGCTAATGAAAACCTTCCATACTGTTTACATCAATCATCTCTGCTAATTTAAATGTCATATTTTATTATATTTATGTGAAACTGCCTGGTTAAGGAGTCAGTTTAGAGTTAGGTTAAACACAGCCATAGATCCTGTAGTTAAACCTGTTTATGCCCGGTTGGCCTACTCGATCCCATTTCGTCTATAGCAAAATTCCCAGTTGGTCTACACCCGTTTTGCCTACTCCATCCCGCTTCCACTGTCTGCCTCATCCCTTCTCTACCTTCCCCCTTCTCCATTTGCACTTCTCTTTCATCGTAACTCTACAGCAGTCAACAACACACCACAGTCGCTACCATAATGTATTATGTATTTACAGCTGTTTACTCGTGCTTACCCTCAACTCACAAGTATTCGGCCTGTTTTCATGTCTCGCGTGTATCTATTATCGCAGATTATTGGGGATAATGGCACGAGAAAGTTTGTACAATGATTCCCCTATTATGGCAATAGTGATAAGACCGCATATTAGGTACAATGTGCAAGTGGCATGATACTAGAGGAGCACGCAAGGGTCTGCTTGTCCTTCACATGTTTTTGATCTGAGATACAACATAAAGGTGTCGATTTGATGTAATCTTTTGACTCGGTTCTGGTTCAGTCTGGTTGTCTAGCTAGCCTAAGTGAAACGTTAGCATGGTTTTACAGGTACTGCTCACACTTGCCGCTGCCTATATCATATACTGTCTGTTTTACCGCCATAATCCACTTCCAATCAGCGGGAAATATGCACAACCAGGTAAGACAAATAGGTTTAATGTTGTAAATGTTTTGTACATGTTGACCTCTTGCCGTATGAATTGATTTGTTGCATACTACAGTTTCAACATTAATTATTGTAGTCGTTTGTACAAAAACGAAATATTGCACTAATACTACTGTAAATTCATTTATAGGGAAGTGGTATTCACTAAAGCGTGCTATCGTGTACATTTACTGCCGTGTACAACAGTGGAGGAAAACTTCTAAGATACCAGAAGGTGGAGATTGTTTATTATTCGAGGTTAAACATGGCTGTGCAGGATTGGAGCAACCACAGTCTCTTCCAGATCATCCAAATGTATGATACTATATTACTGTATCACCATAATTATATGTATTATGTATATTATAAGTGCATAATTGCTTCGTGTTTTTCATCGTGATCTAGCTATGACTTAATTGGTGTGTGGAACGAGGTGTTTTCACTGTTGTTGTTGCTACTGCTGCAGCTGCTGCTGTAGTTGTTGTCAGTAATGATGATGATGATGATGATGATGTTGTTGATGCTGTTGGTGGTGTGAATATTTTTTTGTAAAATAAAAATCGTTGTTTTAATTTACTGCAGGCGTTTGATTCCATGTATATTGGTGGAGTGGACAGGCATGGCAACCGACTGGTTACACGTATTACACGGCTACCAGACAGAACTGCTGAGGTATAATATAGGTTTTGTGAGATTGTGTATATTGATTATTTTAATATATATATTGATACGTGATTATGAAATTCCATAATTGACCTGTATCACTGTACCAGTCCAAAATCCTCTATATTTGCTAACAGGGTTAGAAGTCCTATCTGGTGAAATGTGCCATTACAATTCCCATTAAAATTGCTGTTCTTGGTATCAGCATAGATATTTATAATTGTAATATTTATACATTGTAGTAAGTTGTTTAGATGTGTGTATGCGTGCATGCATGCGTGCGATGAAATTTTTTGATATTTATTAGTGCATTTGCTCAAAGAATACAGGCCGAATTATATTTCGCCTTGGCAAGCATGATGCATGAGGCAAGATGCTGATTATATGTCTGCACATCTAACAGTATAAAACAACAAATCCGTGTATGCAGTTTTGAAATGAGGAATGCTACACTTTTATAAGCTCATGCATGTTAATTCATACACAATTTTCTAAAGTAATTGAATAGGATATGTTCTTATAGTTTTAGCACAGCAAATTAACAAGCACTATGTGAAAATAATATCTGCAGATGTGTGGTAATCCGGTTTGACTAATTAGTGATTCCTGCTGTAGGTATGGCTGATGTTGAAGCTAGGTGATGGCCAATACTACCATTTTCCTAGCTTCCCTGACACCAGGGTATACAACTGTGACGGGGAAAGCTTTACTGCCGGAGGATTGCAACTTGAAGTGCTTAAACCCCTGCTGAAGTGGAGGGTAACATTTAATGGCCTGCTTAGGTATGTGGTTACATTGGCTGTATCCTATCATAGGTAACATGTATCCAATGGCGATATTTCCAGCATTTACCTTATTTTGCGGCTTATATTACGCTCCAATTTGCATTAGACACAATGTTTTGCCACACATCCTAGTGGACGTCACTTATACTATGTAGCAGTACTGCTCACGGGACAAGGGCATTTATAGCAGGCCAATATGTATGCATATATATCAGAAGTAGATAATAGGAAGGAGTGTGACTTTATAAATAAGGGAAATTCGTCATATACTAGCCTTAGAAATACTACGATTTACTACACGTAACTCAACCAACTTGAGCTCAAATCGTACACGTACATTCGCCTAGTATCGTGCGAAATCGTTTCCTCGTATACACCCGCAATCCGGAGATACAGATTAAAACGTACGACACGATTCTCCATTCTGTTGCAGCAAAACCGAATGTATAAACCGCCTAACTTGAAACAAAAGGCAGCTACTAACAACTCTTGCGCACTTGCGCCCTCAGCGATGCGGTGTGGCTCGCTGGGAGATTGGATATCGACGCAACACTCGGCGAGCTAATCTTTGACCTAGCTGCCTTTTGTTTCAAGTTAGGCGGTTTATACATTCGGTTTGCTTGCAACAGAATGGAGAATCGTGTTGTACGTTTTAGTCTGTATCTCCGGATTGCGGGTGTATACGAGAACGATTTCGCACGATGCTAGGCGAATGTACTGTGTACGATTTGAGCTCAAGTTGGTTGAGTTACGTGTAGTAAATCGTAGGTATTCTAAGGCTAGTAAATGACGTATTTTCTTTCGTTTATTGAAGTCACACTCCTTCTCTATTATCTACTTCTGATATCTATATAATAATAATATATATATATATACTAGCAGGACACCCGGCGTTACCGCGGAAATAAAGCGCTCAGGTGGTGACCACTTGGTTGAAAGAAAAATACCCAAAAATACATCTATCTATCTATCTATCTATCTATCTATCTATCTAATCTATCTATCTATCTAATCTATCTATCTACCTACCTACCTCCGTACGTACCTATCTATCTATCTATGTATCTATCTATCTATCTAGCAGCTAGCTAGCTATCGATCTATCTATCTATCTATCTATCTATCTATCTATCTATCTATCTATCTACCTACCTATCTACCTCCTACCTCCGTACGGTACCTATCTATCTATCTATGTATCTATCTATATATCTATCTATCTATCTATCTATCTATCTATCTATCTACCTACCTATCTACCTACCTACCTCCGTACGTACCTATCTATCTATCTATCTATCTATCATCCATCTATCTATCTATCTATCTATCTATCTATCTATCTACCTAATACCTATCTACCTACCTACCTCCGTACGTACCTATCTATCTATCTATGTATCTATCTATCTAGCTAGCTAGCTATCGATCTATCTATCTATCTATCTATCTATCTATCTATCTATCTTATCTATCCTATCTATCCTATCTATCCTATCTATCCTATCAATCTATCTATCTATCTATCCATCCCATCCATCCCATCCATCCCATCCATCAAACCACCCACTCTATCTATCTATCTATCTATCTAACTATCTATCTATCTATCTATCTATCTATCTATCTATCTATTATATCTATCTGTCTGTCTGTCTGTCTGTCTGTCTGTCTGTCTGTCTGTCTATCTGTCTGTCTATCTATCTGTCTGTCTGTCTATCTGTCTGTCTGTCGTCTGTCTGTCTGTCTGTCTGTCCATCTGTCCACCTGTCCATGATCCATCGATCTATCTATCACACTCTATAGTCTATAGTGCTATAGCCTTACACACTGTTTCAAGTCGGTGCAAGGTGAATGTTGTTACGACAATGACATTGCCGCATTATAACATAATGCATGTATTGTAACTCAATTTTCGCGCATTGTACAGTCATGCAAGTCAGTGCAAAGTGAATCCCGTCCTCATGGGCCGGTTTATTTACCGCTGCTACAGGGTGTGTTGATTTAACGCTGCTGCAGGGGCATGATTTTTTCATAATTTTTTCGTTTACAATGTCAGATGCTCTCGGAGGTCAAATCCAATGTGCCCATGTTCCAATGTATCCAAATTAAGTTACATTATATAATGGCCATCCTTGGACATATATAGAGTGGCCGATATTGATTTGAATTGAGAACAGACGAACAGAGAAACTTCACAAATATGTATTAGATATATATAATAATAATAATAATAATAATAATAATAATATAATGTTGCTTACTAGGGAAGGTGAGAGGAGCGAATGGAACGCAGATGATGAAGAAAGTTGGTGCATGTAAAGTTTGCTTTTACGTATGTATATTGCATTAGCATTAGATCTCATATAGATATCTGACGTAATCAGGAGTGACTAAATCCACATTTGTTTAAATTCACTTTCTGATCTAATAGTGCAATAAAATCTTTACAAACGTCAAATATACGAGGGTGTTATATGATATCTGAGTACCATTTAAAAAAATGCACAGTACATGTAGTGTGAGCAAGGGCAATATTCATTACTAGCAATAGAATGGAATCTCATCTATGATCTACAATCTCTTTAACCTTGGCTTTATGCACATTTTTACTATGCCATAAAATGCAGGTTAATTCGTTTATACAAACCGTCATTTACAGCAAAGCAATAGTTGCTACACTGGACACTATTGAATGTATGGTGAAAAACACTTGTGGAAGATTAATCATGAACATATTGAGAGATATACATGTGTGGACGTATACATATGTTCATGATATTCTGATTTAATATATAAACAATAACAAGCATATTTTTACATTTTTATTTACTATACTATTATACATCTTCATCTGCTTTGTATAGGGGGGGGGGGGTACATTCCCACTTTCCAGCAAAAACACACCCCATATCCAGTTCCCAGTAAAATAAAATCCCAGTTCCTAAGAAATTATGTAGACATGTTTCAGGAAATCAGTAGTTTAGGTTTTCAAACACTACATAAATACTAATATTTTACATTCTATTAATATCTGGGAATAATTAATAAAAATAAAAAATAAATTAATAACTTAAATAAATATTTAGCGGCAGAAATTGAAATTCCGACGAATTGACACAATTTTTCCAGATCCCAGACAATTTTAGAGGTCTTTCCATGCCCGATGAACTTCTGTTCCCGAATCACGGAATTTATCTGACATTTCCCAGTTCCCAGGTATTAAAATGGCTAATCCGCATCCCGAAAATACCTGTTCCCCCCCCCCGCTTTGTAGGTGAAATAATTTTTCTTCATCTCGTTATACTGCTTTTTATTCTTATTGCATTCTACTCTTGTGTTATTATTCTTATTTTTTATTCAGATTTTTCCTTTATATATTGATTATGTGTAGTTTAATTCATCCCCTTCATCTTCAACCTATTTACTATATTCTCATCCTTTCTTTTGTTTTCTCACCATTGCTATTATATTACTTGATATTACCTATGTTATGCAGTTGGAAGCTCTTACTGGAGAGTTTTCTTATGAAAATTACTATGATCCATGGACAGTGTCTGATGCAGTTGCTAGAGAACATGAGTAGAAAACTCAAGGATAATTTATGAACCTTAGGTAATCAAAGCTCATGTTGATGAAAACACGTATAATATGCTCATACCTATATGAACCTTTTATTATAATGTAGTCTCACAAGGCTCCCACTGGTTCTTTTAATGTTCGAACCCAGCTTTGAACTGCTAAAGTAATTTTTTAGACGCTAATGAAAACCTTCCATACTGTTTACATCAATCATCTCTGCTAATTTAAATGTCATATTTATTATTATTTATGTGAAACTGCCTGGTTAAGGAGTCAGTTTAAGGTTAGGTTAACACAGCCATATGATCCTGTAGTTAAACCTGTTTATGCCCGGTTGGCCTACTCGATCCCATTTCGTCTATAGCAAAATTCCCAGTTGGTCTACACCCGTTTTGCCTACTCCTAATTCGTCTACACTAAAAATCCAGCCTATTCCGAGAGTAGACGAAATGGGAGTAGGCAAAATGGGAATATTGCCCATTCTGAGAGTAGACGAAATTGGAGTAGGCCAACTGGGATGTTACCGTTAAACCGACACTGATATATATGTCAAAATTTACAAAGGTGAATGGCTGTGATACATATACTTCTGCATAAACGATGGAATTTGAGTGATATATATATATATATATATTGAATATACTGTGAACCTATGTAAGATGTAATATACATGAGATGTTCATTCTAATACCTGATGGCAAATAGAGCCTAAAATCAGACCAGTTATGCTAGTGCTTGCTTACCACTGCAGTAAGAAGAATAAGAGGTATGAGGTATGTGGACAGCTGTATGGTAAACTAACTGTGGAAGGTGAGGCAGAGAGGACACTATTACTGAGAGGAGTAAGGGAACATTCCTTCGGTATTCGGGACTGGAAGACGTACAACAGATACATTTCTAACTGGGGACATTTGAAGGTGAGTGGTTTAAAGGGTACCTAATCTAAACGTACACATAAACTCACATGCACTGCCAGTACTGTGTAAAATTCATAGTGGTTTTAATATATCTGTCTTAGATCAAAGAAGAGTCATCAGTAATGATTGATCCATTCCATGACCTAAATCCGTAACACACTTCTAAACAGAATAATATTTGTAACCTTGTTTTTCAGGATGGGACTTTGTATTCAATTTCGGCCAAGAGTATGTATGGCGTTTTGAGTCAGTAAGTATAAAATATTCTTCTTTACATACTATACCATGACAGAGGCATTTGAAAGGGACAGCAGAGGCATTTGGAAGGGACTGCAGATGCCTCATGTTCCTTAAGATATTCCTTGTGTAACTTGAGTTTGATAGAATAAAATATATAGTTAGTATATTAGTACATTTATATATTTAAATGAACGGAAACGTTCGTTTTAGGAGAATGAATACATGTATATATAAATGGTATTGATTATTGCTGTTCCTTGCAGTGGACGGGCAAATCGTGTTATAGCTCCCTGTCGGTTTACACATTCCAAGCAGGCCCACGTCAATCAGTGGTGGTTGCATGGGCTTCTAGCACAAACTGAAAGTGCCTGAAGGCACCTAAAATTCTATTTCCCCATCTTTTTTTATAATTACATTAATTCTCACTTTTTTCTGCTTCAGCATTGTCAGCGGATACATAGTCCTGCCAAGTGGGCAACGTTGTGTGCTGAAGTCAACCGACCTGCACTTGTCACGACTCGGGGAGTTTACACAGCCTCCTGATAAGTTTGACTTCAACGTTCTTGCAGGTAACCTTTATCTATAGTTAACTATCTTAGTAATTATTACTAAGATACTTATGCAACGAAAAATTTACAGATGCCTTGCTACATAATTAATGCAATTAATTTGTAATAGATTAGCATAATATATATAGCACAGCAAAACACATATAAATAATATATTTATCTGCAATCAAAATAATAATTTAAATAAATGTTATAGCCTTGTAGGGGATTGTAAATTAATTCTATTTAGTGGGTAAAAAACATGAATTGAATATAGACCCAAGTAATTTGTGTTAACCTGTCATACATTTATATGCAGGTATAAATGCCCAATCTTTAAATAATAGGCTTTTGCCAGATTTTACGTTTAACAGCACGATTCAAGTGGAAAAGCACATTTACTTATACTAGCACATCTTTAGTGCACATATTCTCAGAAGGTATTCAACAGAATTTGAAAAATAATGGCGTTCTGAATTATTTCACATCTAGGCCATTTCGAGTGCACAATTACAACAGAAAAAAAGCTGGAGCAGATTCTCTACGTAGGAGAGAGATGGAGTGCCAAGATTCATGAACAGTTAACTGATGTAACAATAAATGGAGTCAATGGCTGGGGAGTCACAGAGTACATGTACAGGTACAAGTGCATTTCAATAAACAATTGGCTAGCATTCATTTATTGAATGGTTTTCGACAAATTTTTCGCTTGTAGCTTTTAGAATGGCAAGTGTGTCTGTATGCCTGCCCATCCGTCCGTCAACAATCTGGGCTCAAATCCTGACATACATACGGTCTTGAAAGTTAGGATGTAAAAGAGTAACCCAAAACGAAATTTGGAGGTAGATTTTGCGATCAAGGGTCAAGGGTCAAGAGGTGTGAAGGAATGAGGACTATTCCCCTTCAACTTAAGTTATATAGGACCAGCATTGAGAAAGCACATAATTGTGGCATACGTATAAATGGAATGACCTATGCTCTATATTTGGTATACAGAGACATAGAAAGAGTCATAACCCTAGACAAAATTAGGGTCACTGGTCAAAGGAGATTGAAGCAAAGTGTTCTGGTGGATATAACAAAAACCATTTGGTTTCAGTGTTAACCTACCCCTTTCATGAATCATGACTATTGAAAGGACCATGAAATGCACTTTCCATTGTTGTGCAAAGAGTATAGCTATCTGGTGGTATCTATCTATTTTATTCTGCCCTGAACTTTGTAGATGTCATAGCACCCAGTGTGTATCCTGTTTTTGCAATGCCGATGTGCTGCCTGGATTAATTTGTTTGGAATTATCTGGGCAAGTGTGGGCTGGCAAGTGCCTCTGATACTCAGCCCATATATACCACTCTTTGGTTAATACATAGCCATTCTTTGCATTTCGAACAATATCTATTTCACCCCTCTGTTTTGTGTCTAATCAGACTGGATTAGTATAACATTTTGAAACCTATAGACTTCACAAAAGCACAATGACGAGTGATGAGCAAGGCCATATTTAATATAGCTTACATCTTGCGACAGTTCTCATTGTAATAACTTATTTTACGGAAATATACAATCGTCGCTATGTTCAATATTAAATACCATCTATTGCTTCCTACTCTCAATTGCCTGCGCATTTGTCTCCTCTTCTGCCTCCACCACAGACAGACTTGAGATTAGCACTGTCTTTCTGCAGCACTAGTATTGAATAGTTATGTTTCTCTGGTCATGCACGAAACAGTTATTAGAAATCTATCAGTGAGACAAAATGACAAAAAACAGTGTATCCATTCACAAAATAGCTGCTTTTCAATGAACATGTTTCCTGAATCTGTTACAGCAATGCTGCATTAACCTTCACACCTAACTGATGTCAAGACTCATGTCTGAAAAGCAAGGTCACCTTTGCACCATTTTCTGTTGCAGATATAGAGAATCATGTCCAGTACCTATTCAGAAATCGGCTTCATTGCCAGTGGAACCAGGTAATTGTACAGGTTATGAAATTTATAAATGAATTGAATGACTCTTATTGCAGTTACCAGTGTATTTTTTATCTACAGAATACTGGATCTCCACAGTCATGATAAAAATCATTGGCTGTAACTACAGTATTCTTTTGTCAATGTGCAGAATATTTTTATACTAATTAAGATATTGTATGTAGGTAATATGTGATTTTTAAATTCACTTATGACAGAGATTAAAAATCCAGATGCTTTGGTACTACCATTTAGCAATATCACATGCACTGCATCCCAAATAGTTGGAGGCAAAGGAGCACAGCTTGCTTTACTAACCCAGCTTCCTAGCAAGGTTTGTATATAAGTTATACATTGTATCAGAAGTCAAGAATAATCACGATCGACTGTTTCGTAGTTTTACATTGTTTAAAAAAATGCAATAAATCTTAGACATTGTGAGCATCATCAACATATTCTAATATTAAGAAAGATGTGACACCATGAATATAAATATTTTTCATTTATGTGTGTTCATGGTAATTCAAGCATTGATATAAACTATCGGAAATGAAAATCGTTCTACTTCTGGTGAGGCCATTTAAATAATGGAAAATTCAAGTTCATGCTTTACTTTGTAAAGATTTGTGATGAGTATTTGTTATAACATCAAATTGCCAAGTCTTTTTGATGCAACAGTTTCAGGTTCCAAATGGTTTTTGCATAACTGTAGCTGCTTACAGACATCACCTGAACAGTAACAAGCAGCTTAAAGATCTTATCCAAGAGCTTCAAGATGTGTCTTCGTAAGAATTGGATGTTATTTTTACCATGGCTATAGTATTACTTATTTCACAATTAAATTAGATTTGATGTCTGTAAGTCGGCTATGAAATCAGTTTATTGCTATCGGTTGCTTTATTATTGTTCCCAAAATACTGATATTATGTGCCGAACATACACTGAAAGATACCAATCTGAACTGATCTTTTTCTGATCCTTTTTTGTCCAATCACTGTGAAAAAATAATACAACAAATAATTGTCCAATACCATGCAAATTCATCCAAGTCCAATGACTGTTTATGTTTATTGTTAAATTTCAATCATGTCTGTGGGTATTTATTATACATTGCTTTAATGTAAATCTCGTGATAATAAGCTCATTTTAAATATAATTATAATTTAGGAATGTTGTGTTTCAGAGAAAGAAAGCCAGGTGATCTACATGAAATATCAAAATTACTTGTGGAAAACTTCACAAAAACGAAGCTTAGTCAACATTTGGTGACGACAATTCTGGAACAATTGACACAAATGTTTGGGGATATGTGGGAGAAAAAAGCATATGCTGTGCGCTCATCGGCAATCGGTAAGTTCAATAGAAAACTACAGTTTGCATGTGTAGTTTAGACACAAGTTGTAGACACTATTCCAGAAGGACAGTCTGTACACATATATGTTAGACACTATTTTAACAACTTGCCTCAGATTTTCGTTGAAAACATTTTGGTGCTCTTCATGACTAAATTATTTAATATTCATTAGTTAATGTTTTTGTCATGAACATTAAAACATGGTGCACTTAACTTCAACTGTTACTGCAGGCTAAGGCTACAGGAGTATGTAGTATATTCCTGCAATACCGAATGTACAATATGAACGTTCTGTTCCATAAAATAACTTGTGGCAATTTTGCACTTGGCATGCAGTCATTGTTTTTTCTTTTGTTTTGTATAATACAGGAGAGGATGGAAAAGAATCATCATATGCTGGGCAAATGAAAACATTCCTCGGAGTCAAAGAGTCGAACAAGGTGAGAGTGGCCATGCAGGCATATTTATTTAGCAATAATTTTTCACAGCAACAACTCATTTTTATACACATTCTTACACGTTAAGCCTAGCCCATGTCGATAACAAACATCGTACCATTGTACATACCCACAGATCTTCGAAGCTATTTTGAAATGCTGGGCGTCTTCATTTGCATATCAAGTTGTGGAATACAGGAGGTCTGTTGCACATTTTAAATGTTCTTTTTAAATTCGCTTTACTAATTATTCATTGTTTTTATGCACGTTCAAGAATGGCAGATATATATAGAACTGGAAATTGACTGATATACTAACTGTTACTGGGGCTAAATAGCCAAACTATATCAATACTGATTCCATGTGTCGTGGTATAATTATATATTGGTTATTACTGTCATGACGTTATGTTCATGATAATACATGATATTCAGGAACCATGGTCAGGTTATAGCAGCAGACGTGGGTGTCTGTATACAGGAGATGCTGAATGCAGATGTTGCTGGTGTACTCTTCACTAGAGATCCAGTGTCTGGCAACCCTGGTGTCATGACCATCAATGCTTCATACGGAATAGGCGAGGTATATGCCATGTATTTATGCTATTTCCATTAATGCAATTTATATATGTGCTTTTGCATCTGTCCAGGGAATAAAGTTCATTCATTTGTTTAATGAATTCTATTGTATTTTCAATGAAAATAATATCGTAAGTCTTGCTTGAAATTAGTAGTTTCTAATATGTCATCATCATTCTTAGGCAGTTGTATCTGGAGCCACAGAGCCAGACACAATCTATCTGCAAAGAAGCTTCTCTAATAAGCTCAGCATCAAGGAGACTGTCGTGGGAAGTAAGGCAATGAAGATGATTGTAGACAGTGGTATGTGATTCATATTTCAAAATATTTTGAAGCAGATTTTGAAAGTCTGTTAATGTCGTTTTTTCTGCAATCTTGGATTTTTACACAATATAAACTGTGGAAATACAGTTATATAATTTTCTTCACTCATTGTGCTAAATTGCTCTATTGTACATATATTATGTTTCGTTTAATGTAAACAACCAGATGTGACATGATCCATACATTTTCTGTATTGAGTTATTAATATTTTGGTCCACAACAAATATGCTAATTGCTTGGGTCCCTTAGAGGTTTAACTACTCTGAACACGTTTTTATCCTGTACTAGATTAAGGATGTACTTATAGTGGTGCATATTTGTTGCATGCAAAAGATTGAACTTTTTACAAGTATGTATTTTGTAAAAAATGTGACATTGTGTAATGATATGTAGACTATGTTCTATAAAAACCTGATTTATAATCGTGTTTTCTTCAACCTCAGAGTTAGGAGGGCTCATGCAGGTTGAGATGGAAAACAATGGGGAATGTTGCTTACCTGGCAAAGTGGCATTGGATCTGGGATGTATTGGCATACAGGTTTGCTTATATTCATCACATAGAAATAATATACTAGTTAGACTATACTAGTGTCTAGTTCGATTATACTATAGTGTCTCCAAATATTTCTATGATTCATCAGCTCGTATATATTCATATATGCACACACACGACACACATATGGATAACTGGGCAATAATGACAATGCAGGTTAAAGTTATACACCTTCAATGCTTAGGTCGAACAATTGTTTTCTTCGGAACCGCAAGACATCGAGTTTGCTCTGGAGGATGGTCAGATCTACCTGTTGCAGTCTCGACCAATCACATCCCTCAACATTGAGTCAGATTTCGAGCTCACGCATGAATATGATGGTCCATTGATTATAGATGAAGAAATGTTTACGATTGCTAATGTGGGGTAAGTAATGGGGTAGCAGGGTTCAGAATTAGCACTCGCCAGGTCGCTATATTGGCAAATAATATATTCTTGCTGGGCGAGTTTAACTCAAACAGTACTTGCCCAGTTTAGGGAGCTCATGCAGTTTTAGGACCTAAATAATATCTGACCTAACAACTAGACATTAAAAGCTATATTATCATAGCTAGATAGCATTTTATTCAGTCCGATCATAACTGCGACGTAACACGTACATGACTTCTAATTATTTTTATACTGTCACACGTACCTTTCTGGACTAGCATTCTTGTATACATATTGTATTGGTCACTTATACGCGTGTTTTTTACCTATATACCTTACGTACAAATGTCAAGCGTATACATGAGGGCGATCGCCCCGGAGCAACAATTAAGCAATATGCGATTTGTCAAATGTAGTTCAATGAGTCAATCGGTGATACCGTGATATCATAACATACACAGCCTTATACTGCCGCATTTCCGGGTTGTGTTTGCGGCAACTTTGAAAATAATGTGGAGCTTTATTGATGGCGCATCAGCATCAGCTGATAAGTCAACAAAGGCTGGTGGTACATTAGAAGAGAAGGCAAAATTGTATGAAAAAAAACAGAGGGGCCCGTGAGTACAACAAAGCATGGGAAATAGGCAGACCTTTGTTTAAAAACACACCAAGTACAATGGTTTGCAGTTGGGTGCAGAGAATTTGCAAGATACTGTTACTAAATGCAATAGAACCAAATTTTATTCAATGTTGCACAACAAACAAAGTTGAGTCCATGACAAATCATGAACGTAGCAGCTAGAGCACATGCATGCACTCCAGTGCAGCAAAATGCTATAATGCAAGAAGTTCCACCTCAGTAGCTGTTGCATTTTCTTAACCGAATAAACAACACATATGATCCGTTTTAAACCAATTCTTACAACATAATAAAACCAACATTGTAAATAACTGCATGGTTTTCAAACTATTGTCTCAGAATGATATGAGTAGGTAGATATCATAATTAAATGGTATTAAATGTAAGACTATAAAACACAATCTAGTGTAATATTATTACTTGTATGTCAGTTTATATTTAGGGCGTGCACCAAATCCATTTGGGCGAGTAACATTTAAAAGTCACTCGCCCGAAATCTCGAGTACTCGAAATATTTAGTTTTGAACCCTGGGGTAGTTTAATCAGTTCCAACAACCAAGAATGCAGTGCTGTGCATTTTGTGTCTTTCTTAGTGTGTCAATGGAATTGGCATAGGTTCAGAAGTTAGTAATATGTATATTTTGGTTATTGAGTTGAGTGAAAAATAGTAATGCAGACTTTAATAGTGGTTTCATTGATGATTCCATATTTTATTTCTACCTTGAAGGGAGGTGATACCAGGGTGTAGTTCTCCACTTTCAAATGACATCATGATGTCTGGATTCGCAACATCTTTACAGGTATGTTATTTATATGTTATGAGTGCAAAATCAATAATAGGAAATGCTGTATAACATCCATGGATTTGATAGAAATTTTATTGGCTAATGCATTTTTCTCTTAATAACCCAAATCATTATAAGTGTGGGAAATTTGCTAGGGTGCACTATATTATGTTGGTTTTTCTCCACTGTCTGTAAGTATAGAATATCTGATATATACATTTTCGGATTTCGGAAGTTACATGTCATGGTTCGTAAAGCTGATAGGGTCTATGTCCCCCAGGGTACTGCCGGAACGTACCCTGGGTACGGTCCGGTATACCGGAACGTACCCTGTTAACTATCTAATATGCCGGACCGTACCTCGCCTACTCCAAACCGTACCGTGACTTTCAGCCGATGTCGTAATACATACCGCTTGTCGGCAGGAAACGCGCCGCTTTATGCTCCTGTTCCTTGTTTCCGGTCCGTTCCCGCAAAATATTCGTAACGGGCCTGTCCGTTACCCTGTTACGTTTCACCTCCCATCTAGTCTAGTGTCTCCCGTCTAGTGTCAGCGAGTCTATACGTTTCCAACCCATTAAGATAATCATACAAATTTTCCTGTTCCACCACAACACTTGGAGCCATCTTTCAAAAATCTCGCGCGAAAATGTCGTAAACATTGCGAAAGGAAAACGCATTCCCGATCATCGCAATATTTGCAAAAGGATTGCGCGCATCAGTGTATATATAGGTTGAAATTTCTTCTTGGTTTCACAGTTTCATACTCCAATCCAACTTTATAAAGATATCATACAGGTCTGTATGTATATTTCAAATTTTGCGACATCAGTAGTGGGCGGAACAGTGACAGTCAGGGTACGGTAGGGAGTAAGCGAGGTACGGTCCGTCATATCAGATAGTTACCAGGGTACGTTCCGGTATACCGGACCGTACCCAGGGTACATTCCGGCAGTACCCTGGGGGACATAGACCCTATCAGCGTTAGTAAATGCTAGTGTGTGCTAACATACTGTTTTTTTCAGCACTGGCGAACAACTGTTGCAGCTTTTGCTCATAGATCAAATGTTGAAATGATGATTACATCATTTTGCAGACATGTTTTTATAAATATGTTAGGAGTAAGTATTTTTGTGTTTTTGTGTCTATATATATATATATATATACAGTAATAGTCCGCTTTATGATAATTCGAGTTATGTAAACTCACCTATACATAATTCATAAACTATGAACACTAAACTCTGGGTACGAAATGTAAATTAAATTGCTGCTAGGGAACTTTTCAAAGGAATGATAAGGGTTTTATCAAAATGTGCTCAATTGCCATGAAATTAATTACTGCAATCAGCCTACCCCCTACATTTAGTATATACCCAAGATTTCCATTTTAAGAGCAGTTCACAATAGCCTCGTTCACACGAGACCTCGTATTTATAAAATACGGTATTTGCGAAATACCGAATCTGAGACAAATACGTGGCCGAGCGTTCACACGCTGATTTGCGGCTCCAGAAATACGGTATTTGCGAGCTACGAGCTGCTTTAAACAATCAAGCGAACAATGCGAAATAAACAATGCAATGCGCACCAACTGCCGATAAAATACGTAGACTGGTCCGCGCTCGACAGTTCCACTCGTGTTACACTGGAACTGTCGAGCGCGGACCAGTCTATAAAATACGCGGCTTCAGAAATACGGTATTTAGCATTCACACGAGGAAATGCACGGTCCAAGAGATCCGGTATTTCTCAAGCACGGCAAATTATTCGGGGTCTGGGAAGCCGCGTATTTACATCAAATACCGGATCTGTTTAGATACCGTATTTCTTGGACCGTGCATTTTGCCTCGTGTGAACGCTAAATACCGAATTTCTTGCTACGTGTGAACGCGGCTATAGACTGCATCTGGTACAGAGATTTATTAAAATACTCTAGGCTCTGGGGGCATGGAGTGTTTGTGTACATGACTCTTTTAGATCAAAACCTTTTACTTTCTCATTCCTTATGGTAAGACTCTAAAAAAAAGTTTGGGTAACACCTCCACGTCAAGTACGTTTTTTCTGTACTGCCAATTATGTGATTTTCGGTTAGGAGCCAAAGTGCAAAAATGACAATATTGAAGTTTCAGAGCATAATTAAGTCTTTATTAAGCAACCATAAACTTTCAAATTGCACTGAATTACATTAAATAAGTATTACTAACGACTTTCTAGCATGATTTGTTGCCATACACATTGTTTCATGGTACAAAATGGCTACATTTTACTCAATTTACATTTAGCCAAAAATAGCCAGAAATCACTTTCAGTTTGAAAGTAGCTCCAAGTATGATTGCTTCTCACTTGCCCAATATTGTAGGTAGAGCTTGTGGGGGGAACTCTGAGGGGCCCAGCTAGGCTTCATAATTCGGTTTTAACAAGCATGTTGTAATGTTTTCATGCACTGACAAAATTTACCACATTTCATCCCAGCCTTTCTACATGGGCAAGTTGACCTTGTACACTTAGCACATGGACAGGAGACTGACCAATGAGGCTCGAGGGTTTTCCACGATGTTGCGGGTACCAGCTGTCCTTGGTCGTTCACATAGCCACAATCCTCTGGCTTCAGTGTCTCAACGTTTTTAGGGTCGAGGTGGCACTCCAAGGCATGGCTGATGGTGTAACTATTGTAGAATACACGCTTGATATGAGGCAGGAGTCCCTGACTAGTCGGAGGTAGGCTGTGGAGAGAACCCTTTTTGCTGAAGTGGAAAACCTCTGCTCGATATTCAGAGAAACATTTTGCATCGCTACCTCTTTTCAGTACCTTCACTTAATAATGCTCGGCATTGCGAGCCATGGCTGGAGCGAGGGTTAGTGATTCCCCGAAGTGTTTCAGAAACTTTTCAGGTTCTGCCTTTAGAGCTGTCTTCTTTGTACCAACTTTGCTGGTTATGTCACACCCTGCAAGACTGCGTATAGCCGGCAGTACTGCACAGCCCCGATTACCCAGGCGCTGGAACAGCTATCGAGTTGTATCTCCCATCCCAGCTCTCACCTACAGCTCCTCAAGGTTGTGTTGGTTAAAGACAGGCATGTGGTAGAGCAGTGCAACAATGACATCTGTATCGCTGGAGATTACAACACACACTTTGTGTCCTGCATTGAGAGAGTCCAAGACGTAGATGAGTATTCGGAGGTCATGCAGCTTCTTCAAATGGGGATTTAAGGTGCGGCAATGCTTTTTCCTAGCCTTGATGGACCATGATGCACTGGCAATTCTCGTCTTCTTTGGCCACTTGCCCGAGTACAGTGGGATATTTTAATGTTTTGGAAGCATTTGAACGAAGATGGCAGTAGATTAGCTTCTCAAGAAGAAGCTTATTCATGTTCATGTTTGAAGGCCAGAATCTCTGCATCTCTTTTGTAGAGGTGACTCGATTGGTACAGTTTTAGTGCGCCTCTTTCTCTCACTATCCTTCACTGAGGGTTCATCTGAGTACATGTTGAACACATAGTCACATTGCCCGAACTGATGGTATACACCCGAAATGGATACAAATGCTAAGAGGAGATCCTTGAAGCTGGAGAGGCTAGTCACACACATCTTACGAACTGTGGCCATTATGTCTATGACAAACCAGTGAAAGCAGGCATTCCCTATCTATAAAAGGACATGTTTTTTAACATTTCCCGTAAATAACCCTGATATGTAGGTTAGACTGTAGTCTCAACGAATATGCATGATAACTTAGACAGGCATTGTTGAATGCTTTACATAGAAACCAATTCAGTTTGAAAACATAAATAATAATGTTAAGAATATTCGTTTAAGTTTTCACTTGGTATACACTACAGGGCATGTACTACATTAATGAATATACAATGGGAAAAGACACGAGACAGGCAAAAGATGAAATGGACCTGGGATTGTTCATGCGTTCTCTGGGAGATGAAGTGCTTGATGAAATCCACAAGCGTTACCGCACTACAAGAACATCATGGTATCAAAAAATTAGGGGACAGCTGTTCTGTATATACGTAAGTACTTGTTTGAAAATATGCGTCTTTATCTTGTTTGTTTTACCCCCAAATATTTCCTTGAATAAATGTATGGCTTGAATTTTACTGTGGCACTGACGGCAAGTGCTGTTCAGCAGCTGTTGGTTCCCTCAATTACTATGGTGCCCCCTGATGATTGGACAGCATCGTCTACTGTAAGAAGCGGTGAATAAGAAGGTGCATTTAAAATTAGCTGATTATCATGATTTTATAATTGTTGGCTTTTGCTATGCATTATTTTCTCCCCGATTGATGAGAAAGTTTGGTGATTTACTAAAAATCCCTGGATATACATACACTTGTTTTTTTGGACTTTAATCTTCTTTAATTAAACGTTGGCAATCTAGCCAAAAAGTCACGAGACTTTAAAAACCAATGAGGTTAATATAGTAGACAACCATGCAACCACTGCCCATTTACATTAAAATTAAGGCACTTGTCGTTGAGAACCAGTTGTAGTTTAATTGGTAAACGTATGCTCGTTCACTCAGTTAATGTCAGTGCTTAGTGCAGGTTGGAGCAACAACCTTTACTTAATTGTAATAGTATGGCAATTTAATAAGGACTTATTTGCAAGCAGCAGCTTATGGTTGCTATTGATTATATATGTATGGTTACAATTATAAACACACGTAGCTGGAATATGGAATATGTATTCATGTTCATAAAGTCAAGAGGTAATAAATGAAGTAATTATAAATGACATGATGATGAATGTATTATTAGTTCTTGATACAATCACGAGTGAATAAAAAACACATTTATACAACTGATGCAATGATCTCTGCATTTCCATTTATAGGATGCGCTGGTTGTACAACGTCATGTCGCTAGCATGGAAGCACTGGCAGAGAATATCAAGACAGATATGAGCATCACTGATCCGCTCACGTTCTACAATGAAGTAACAAAAGACCTTGCAGCCAGTGTGAATGTAAGTGTATTACATTCTAATGTGTTCACTGCACGAGTTAATTATAAAGCCCTGCATGTACTCTTAGATGACAGTGGAGACTAAACATGATGCTGACGTCATTTTTGCTGTCGATGCTCATATTTTTACTTAATTTCTGCTTGTGTATGCCTATACTGTTATCATTTGTCTGGTTATTCACTTGTGTCACTTTATATGTATCTACAAACTAAAAGGCCATGGTGATAACGTTTAGATGTGCTCAACTCTGTCGTACACTTCTGGCTTAATGATAACATTTTATAGTGTATTACTGCTAAAGTCATATGATAGTGCATAGAATATATATCTAAATGGAAATATTTTATTTCAATGCAATCATCATCGAAGGCTTGGCATCACCATATGCATGTCACCTACACATCGTTATTCACCTCTGGACTATTACAGGCAATCTTAAGTGGCCAGGGTAAGGAAAATTGTGTTGCTATTCTATGTAAAACATTCTCTGCACACATGCCAACAGAGTTATGCCCATTTTAACACCACTTTTCAAAGAAAGCATATGTATAGTTTTTCACTGTAAGATTTTGCCTAAATAGTAAATAACTACAAGAACATACAAAAGTGAGTGATGCACGTAAGCCTAATTGCTATATTCTTTGTTCTACCTTCTATATATGTACCTGGACTATGTGAATTTTTTGGTTTAGTAATACAAAGCCAGGTACACCGTGTACAGACTCATTGTCACTCCGAGTCAGTTTCCAGAAATTTCTAACATCTTCTTACCATCTCGTATTGTTTGCTGATCATATCTCGTAATTTCAACTTAATTATATTATAAATATGTCAATTATCTTTAATAAACACATCAAATCAAATCTAGTAATACCTCAATAATAGTGAATCAACATACCTGAATTTAAATTAACTATGATGGCTGCCATGGCAAGATCACATATCCACAGATAGTTAATATGTCACAGTCATCTCCTGTTTGCTGAAACCGACCACATTTAGTTAAACGTGTTGGAAAAAAAATCAAAGTTGCATGGGTAAATGCAATGTGGCATATTATAGGCCTATGTAGTATTATAGTAGTCCAATTTATGAATACCCAATTATTGACAGGCTCATCAAAAGACGTGATGTCAGATCTGGCCATGCTTCTGTCCAATTGCACGGACGTGGTCAGTGCAGACGTTCCAGCTGCTGTCAAGAAAATTGCACTAGCTGTGATTGATAGTGGTAAAGCAGAGTTCTTTCGAGAATTGACTCCCGAACAGGCAGTTGATTGGCTGAGATCAAGTGAGAGTGGTGATTTAAACCAGCTATTCAATCAATTTATTGAAACACATGGTCACCGAGGCATGAGAGAGGTACGCATATAGTTTGTTAACTGCCAAATGCGTATAATATAAAAAATTCACGTTTCTTGATACATTCGGTTGAAGGCCTCATTTTATACGGTTTTATATCAATTGCGAATATATCTATTATTGCAAACCACTAGATAATTTACGTGCATGATTGCACCGTGCCAAAGTTTATCCTATAAGATGTGTAAACTTGTACATGAAGCAGTTTGGTACATATAATATATTGAGATGTAAAATACTGTAGCATGTGTGTTTATGTGAATGTTGAACCATCTGAGTTTTATGTAGATGTGCTATTAATCCCAACTGTAAATAAGCTTAAATTAATGAGGCTAACTATTTTTTGTAGCCAATGTATATAGTTGTTGGGATATAGTGTTCTAGTTGTATATAGTGTAGGGTGATGCAAGTATATACACGCACGCACACACACAAACGCATGCACACGTGCAAGCATGCATACGCACGCATGCACGCACGCGCACACACACTAACATATAGGCCTTATCATGCAATGATGTGTGCATACTTTTATATGTATACTATACATATTTATATATAAACATCTGAGAGTATAAAATAAATATGTTAGTTATATTATGTGTATGTACGAATTACTCAAGAATTACTAAGACAAGATACGGGTATTTCAAAATGGGTTGCTGGTTGTTCATCTCATGATCAAGCATCATATTATTCCATTTACATTATAGTCTGTCGCTTTTTTCTCAGATTGATTTATCGGCAATTCCCTGGAGAATTGATCCAGTGCAAGTTGTTAAAAGCATACAGGTAAACCAACAATGTAGATGCTGTACATTAACTTTCATTTCATTTGAAACAAATAATTCTGCAGTCTTTATACGTCATTAATCATATCCTTTTACTCAATCCAGCTTTCACGTGATTTCTTTGAAAGGCATATGTATATAATTGCGAACTACATTGTATGGTAAAACCAACCCTATAGTAGGTTAACTAAACACATACTAAATTATCAGTAGCAAATGTAGTTTTACTGTTTAAAATATCACCGGTCGCTACAGATGGCACAATTAATGTCTTCATGTTCTAATTATTTTCTTACTGCATGGTCTGTTAATTTAGTTTATGACGAAGTCACCAGACCAGTTAAAAGACACAAAGTCCTACATGAACAATGATGAAATCATCCACAGGATAAAAACTCCAGTTGGTTTCATCAGAAAGTACGTGAACCTATTGTCTGTAAAGATAAGTCATTTGATTCAGTAGCGCTAATTGGGGTTAACCAACAAGTGAACTATAACACGTTTTCTATGTAAACGATTTCAATGCAAAAATGTTTCACTGTAACAATTTTAAAGGGAGAGTTTAGTCTAGGTTCTAGGGTTATTTTCAGCTAATTTAGGTTATAATTACGCTACATAAAAAGTTTCATGGTTCATTCACCATTAGAAATATCTTTAAAAAATGTTTTAAAACTAACGACTACAGTTTGATTACAACGACGGTGGCGCCACTCAAAGCGCACGATCTGATAAGTTGCGCAAAACCACTTTCCAGCCAAGGGCTACAGACCGAGGGTGTTTATAATTTATTCATTTAAAAGCAAAATTATTGTAATATCTTATAAACGACATATAGTTTCAGTTATATAATATGGATAAATTTGCCCTAAAATGAATATTGTTCGGTTAAATAGCATTTAGGTATAAATATAATTGCACTTTTGTGATTAGCCCTCGGTCTGTAACGTGCAAAATAAATTGTCAAATACTCAACTTTTTCGGGGTGGCAGCACGGTCGCGGGTGTCATGGCGCCGTTCAAATTTCGTAGCGTTGATGTGTAATTAATTATAACAATTAAATTAGGTATCTGGTAACAAATACGTGTGGGTGTAGACGATTTGTTATGCAGTAAAATCCTAGAGGCTACTGTCCCTTTAACAATACATATATATGCATATATGCATATGAGCATATTTATCACAATATTGCCATATCATTAAATCTGTTATCTGGCCAATCAATGACATCGTGTGTACAGATACATAGCTTTCAAGCAATTCTATTACAAAACGTTTCATAGTAACAATTACACAATACAATTTCTTTTATTTCTTTGTTATTCAGTTACTGGTTTGTGGTATTCAACTGCTGGAATGTTTTCTTTTTCTATGTCCAATCAAATACTATATAAATATTGTCTCTTCTCTAATGAAACAGCCCATGTACATGAAATTTCTATTATATTCCAATTGCATAAAATGATTTTGTTATTTATGTTAGCTGTGTGAGAGTAATATAGCAATAGTAATGTACCTCAGCCATGATATTGTGTTAAATATTTTCATGTTTATTTTTTTAAAGAAAAATTTTACAATTTCTGGTGCCAATAGCAAAGAAAAGTGTGCGCATGAGAGAAATGGCTAAAAGCAATTCCATTAAGTGCAGTGACTACCTGCGCCAAGTACTCACTAGACTGGGTGAACTGCTAGTACAAGAGGTATAACCTATATTGCCTGTATAATATACATTAGTAACAAGTACAACAGTAATATTGCATGTGATAAAAGTGTGAATACTTCTAGTTTCTGTAATATCCATAAATATTACCCTTTAACTTTCAGGGCTACCTTCCTGACAAAGAACTGATATACTACTTCACCTTTGGTGAAATTGAAAGGTTGATCATCTCTCGTTCTGCCAAACTGGTCATCAGGTTAGTACCAAGTTTATATCTAATTGCTGGAAACCTGATTTTTTTTGGTCGGAGGTTCATTGGCAGACCTGTGAGTCACGGAAATAGCAGTCCGTAATTATCCAAATGGTTTCATTATATAGAATCAGACGTGAATATTAACACCATACATAAAATTTATATGGGAAGTTACCATGCGTTTAGACAATTTAGATTATACTTTAAGTTGCTTTCTTGATTTCCAAATTGCTTTCTTCTGAAGTACAGTGCACTTTAATTAAATATGACATATTTTTCAGAGCAACAAGAAGAAGAAAGCTGACACCAGCTTTAACCAAACTCCAGTTCCCTGAGATACTATCTGGCTATCCGATGCCGGTAAATATTTTTGAACTTATTACAGTATGTGGGAATTTTACATTTGGGATTAGAAGCCAGATGGTTGTATTTTCACACATTCAAAATGCATGATCCTAATTTTAAAGCAAAACATCATGTAATGCACTCATTATATAAGGCGTATGCTGGGATTTATAGGATTTAGCCTACTCCTGAGTCTCTTGCACTCAATGACCATGGTAAATTAAATAGCATATGCTAATGTAATTGTATTACATTAATGTAATGCTAATTGTAATTATTACTTGCATAAAAATGTTGTTATAGATTGAAGACGACTGCTCCATAGATGTTTCCAATACACAGCAAGTGACAGGTAAATCAATCATTAATTTATATATATATGTTAGCTATTTATCAGTCATATTGCAAGTAAAATTGTCAGAGGACTGTTACAGGAGTAGTGATCGATAGTCCTACATAGTCAATCATTAAAACAATATTTTTTCATCTGTTGCATTCTGAAAGGAGACATTGTGTATATTAACTGTATTATTAAATAAAGTTAGTCATATTTGTAGTGATGAACGACACACGCAAAGTTTCCCTGGCACGAATTTTTTTTACAAATTTTCTAGTTGCTAAGATTCTTTTTATAATTAAATTAAAATAATTTTTTGTCATAAATGTTCTATGAGCAGTGGTTATGAGCAAATGTAAAGCTCACAGACACTACAAGACTCTAGAATCCTTATGAGTGATAAAAATGTTAGCTGTTATTTTCAGGTTTATAATTTTTTGCAAGTTCTTTGCTTTTAGACATGTTCCACATCTATAAAAATGAACCCTACAAATAAGGTTGTAAGTGTCAACGAGAGCACCCCTCTAAGAGATGAAGATGCCATGATTTTTATATAGATTTATATTTTTGGCAAATCAAGTAAATTAAAATCAAAGCAAATCAAATTGTAAGTTATAGAGCAGTCTAAAGTAACACCTAGGTAGACTGGGCTATAAGTATGTGTCAGCCATTTCTCATACCTTATGACTTTCAGGTGGCGATTTCGCATCCCTGTTCTTTTCACGGAAGGCACTTATTTGTGTTTTCCCAGGATTGGCTCATAGTTGGTTTGCAGTGTAGTAAATACCCGGCAGGGTGGGGGGTGTGCACACCCATTGTTAAAAGTACTGGGGACGTGCCGCTGGACAGGGTATATTTTCCGAACATCATTATTGCCACAGGGTTATTTAAGCCCGGCGCACATTTCCCAACATTTTGCTCAAAAAACATTATCGTAGCAATGTTCCATGAAATGTTCGGCAATGTGCGGTGAAAAAGGTCGCCAAACATTTGTTCCGACAATGTTTCTGAAGATCGGAAATGTTTGAATCTGAACATGTTCGTCGAATGTTCGGTCAAGTGTGGCGCTGTGAATGTCGAAACAATTTTAGGAAATTTTGTAAATTGGCCTATCACGCCACGCCGATCACGTGACTCTTTACAACACTGCTACTAGACGGCGCCACGAGGTTGTTCGCTGCAAAATGTTCGGCAATATGCGCTCAGAAATTGTTCACCCGCACATTGCCAGACAAAAACATTTGTTCGGGAAAATGTTCGGCAATGTGCGCCAGGCTTTAGATACCCACAGCAAGCAAGCTGATATTGGTCTGATATTGGCAAAACAATATTGGGTCAATATCACCTGGCCAATATTGGACCAATATAGGCAGATATTGGTCCAATATCGGCCCAATATTGGCAAACAATATTGGGCCAATGTCACCAGGCCGATATTGGACCAATATAGGCAAGCCAATATTGCAACAAGGTATACTTTTTAGTGCAGTATATTGGGACAGGGTGTATTTTAGGGCGCAAAGCGGTTTGTGACAGGGTCAAGTTTTCAAGGTCCCCGAGGCACCCCACTACCCAGTTACGAGGCGAGTGCCCCCCCCCCAGGAGTAAATGGTTAGACTTGCGAGAGCATCGGCGAGGGACTGTTTGACTTCTTCAAAGGACTGTTTCTGTGAAGCAATGTAGCGGTCATCTGCATTCAGGAAACTCCTGGTGTTTGGGTGTACTGGCTGGTCATTTGTGTATAGATTAAAAAGCAGAAAAGCCATGACGCTTCCTTGTGGAAGGCCATTTTTCTGTCTACGCCATCTGCTGCGGTTAGTGAGATCCACGAAAATCCGCCTGTTTTTTATAGTTTTTCAGTAAGAATTTGATGGTTGACTGTGTCGTAATTAAGCTGCGGAGAGGTCAACAAAAGCAGCTCCAGTAATCAGCCCTTTCTCGTTCCCGTCTGACATGGTGTCCATTTTACTTGCTTTTTTATTATATGCATTATATACTATTTCTAGGTATGCCAGTAAGTCATGGCACTGTTAGAGCCAAGTGCAGGGTTGCCATGACACTAGGGGAGGCTGAAACTATACAGGTAAGGAAGAAAAATATGTATAGATTTAAAATCCAATAAGGATTTTTAATTCTCTTATTTGTTTGATACTTTATAAATCCATTAACACATCTTATTGTGGGAGCATAGATTGTACACTACATTCCAGCGACGTTTTCATTAATCCAGAAATGATTATAAACAATGAGCATCACGATGAAACTATTTATATAGTATATATGCTATATTTCTTATTTCAGCCAGGAGAGGTGTTGATTACACGGTCAACAGATATCGGCTGGTCACATGTCTTCCCAATGATATCTGGGCTATGCACAGAGATGGGAGGCATTATATCACATGGTAAGTAGTGCTATGGAGATCATAACTGATTTCAGAAACTGGGAAAGGAATTTTATTTATAAACTACCTTGAAATGATGAAGTCAATTCTATAACAACAAGGTTAAAGCAGGCATGTCGTGAGACACAGTCCTCTATAAATTGATGGGCCCATGCACTACCCTTTGAAATAATTTAGTCTAATATCCACTGATCAGAGCATCCTCTAAAAGCAGCCAATGCTGTTAGACTTAGTCTTTGTCTTTTTCCCTACATAAAAATGACCAGGAATCAATCAACCCAGTAGATGGCACAACATGTCATGCAAGTTGCAAGTGCCATTAGGGATGTTTTACCTTTTCATATTTTTTGTTATTTAGGTTGTTGGTGAAATGTAAAAATGCAAGGGCATGCTTAGACGTAGTTTAGCAGTATACCAATGCAGTTTTTCACTTGTAATATTTTTAATTAATTCTATAGGAGCTGTGGTGGCAAGAGAGTATGGACTGCCATGTATTGTATCTGCCAGGAATGCTACATCAATATTCAAAACTGGTACGTCATTTATCTTTAACTAGTCCATGCCCGTTAGGTGGTCAGAACTTCTGTGTAGACCACATTGTTCATGATGGAACGTTTAGTTGTGTCCTTGGCGTCTACAGCTAGAATCTTTAGCTGCAGGGCACTTCCCACGCGGCTAGCAGTGACGTAGAACTGTTCGTGACTGAAGAAGTCTGACCGTGTAGACGCCGACACGGTGAAGGGACTGTCCTTGCAACTTGTTGACTGTTATTGCAAAGCAACATCAGGAGTTTCTTGACAGCGGGCGACTTTCTTGCGGGCGGTATCTTGTCGATGCTTAATATCTCGACGTGTCAGTGATGCCTTTTTTTTGGTGGCATTAGCTGGGCACTTGTTATAACTATTTGTTTGCTGTCTGGAAACTTTGACTTGTGTTATAACGAAATGCGCTCCATTTAAGAAACAATGTAAAATCAATGTATAACATTTCTCTGGTTAGATTAGATGGAGCGACTTAGAAAATCTTAGATGGAGCGCCTTTGGTTAGACATTGTTTTTTACATTGCCATTGTGTTTTCCTGTTGTGACGTTGCCCCGCGTTCGGTGCAAAAATTTCCCACTTGATATTTTTGAACGTGGAATGTGAAAAAAATAAAACTGTGAACAAAATAAATAGCCCATGCAACGTGTCATGATCTGTAGAATGTTCCGACCAAGTTTGGAGAGGATTCGTTGAGCGGTGCGAAAACGTATAGCCGGACACACAAACACACATACACACACACACACACACACACACACCACATGCACAACACACACACACACACATCAATACACACACACACACACACACAACACACAGCACACCACACACAGCACACACAACACAGCAACCGCACGATGATACGCACGCACACACACACACACACACACACACACACACACACACACACACACACACACACACACACACAGAAAATCCCCAATTTATAGTCATATATTATACCATGGAAGTGGTTGGAATGGTGGCATTCATCTCTGGAACTAGTCACCACATAGCGTATGAAGAAAGGATATTAGCACTCACATGTACTGTGTAGCTCTATGTCATTGGTTTTTACCATGAAACGCAAATTTTATTCCTATTCTAACCTGTTGGCAGAAATTCTAGCAAATCTTGACACTTGGGCTTTATCAATGTTATCTCAATTACTGTGTGTGTAAATAGTATAAGGATCGATCGCATTGTCATATACTGATATGAAAACAATGATATGTTAATAATACATATGCTTGGGATATAAACTAGGTCATTTACTCCATTTTCCAGCAATTTCACAAATAAAAGAAAATTGTCTAAGCTTAAAAGAAACGTTTACAATGCCCAGCTTTTTAAATATATGCTTCTAACCAGGTTATTATTCTTTTAATTCATAGGAGATGAGGTGATCTTGAATGGAGCTGTTGGCACAATGGCAAAAGTTGTTTAGAGTTGCACTGGTGACCTGACAACAACCGACTAAAGACTTGTATTTAATTTTTTTTACACATTTTTGTAATTAAAAAAATGTACACAAAATAGTACCAGAATCAATATGTCAGTATAACAAATGAATTGGGCGTCTAAGCAAAGTGATATATACATATATATATATATATATATATATATCACTGAATACAGAGTGATACCTTTATACCTATCATTAGCTAAACAGTTCTTGTGAAATTATAGGGGTATATAAGATGTTGATCTTGAATTTATTTTTGTTTAGATTGTCTGTGGCTTTAATGAAGCATGCTATATATATATATATATATAATTGAGGTGTATTATAAACTGTTATAGCAGGTGGTTCTTTTAATCACAGCAATCAATTAAATTATTTATAGTTTAATTACAGTGAATTTTACAACAATAGAACGAATTTAGTCGGATCAGCTTTTGTTTGCTCTGATATTATTATTACACCAGGCTAGGGAGAGGGTTGTTGAGAAAGTGACAGAGAAAACGAAAGAGAGAGAGAGAGACTGGTAGCGAGGGAAGACGAAAGAAAGAGCGTGTCGAGACCGAGAGAAAAAAAAGAAAGCGAGCGTGTGGGATGTTTAGAAGGAGTGCGCACATGGGCAGAAGAGAGAGAGAGCGAACGAGCAAGAGAGAGAGAGAGAGAGAGAGCGCGCGCGAACGAGCAAGAGAGAGAGAGAGAGAGAGAGAGAGAGAGAGAGAGAGAGAGAGAGAGAGAGCGCGAGAGAGAGAGAGAGAGAACGAGAAAGATATTCAA